GAATAGTGGCGGTTTGCACCAACAGCTTTCTTTCTCAAAATAAAAATATGGCTTCACACTCCAAAATCACCAATACAACACCCTCCCTGGACCAGGGCTTTTAAAAGCAAGACCCTGAAGGTTCTTAAATATTTGCAGGTACTCGATCAGAAGTGCTGACTGTGAAAATACAGGGCATGGGAAAATAAGGCTGAGGATACAATTGGGTACCTGTAAGACTAGAGGAGAACAGTCATTCAGTTCCCCGCTGAAGGTGCTTATCATATTCCAGAAAAACAATGTCAGGAACTACATCTGCCATCTCAGTATGTGATCTAGTTACATAACAGTCGAACAGACTATTGACATTTAACAGGGAAAGGCAAAGATTAAAATCAAAATAATTGGTATAAAATGGCATCTAGGAGAAGAAAAACCAAAGAGGAAACACTGCTCCAATGACTTTGGTTCTGAAATGAAAACAAGTAAATTGATGTATTTAATTTCCTGACATAAAAGAGGAAAATGATGCATAAGACTTTTTCCCCCGTAGACAAATTCAATATAAGTGGATAAAATACTTAAATACACTTGAAAGAATTGGTAAGAGAGGCAATTTGATGATTTAACCAAATTTTTGCTTTTCTCCGATCCGCCAATTCTTCTGTGTTATACAAAGCTCAGACTCAAATTTGTGTAACTTTAAGAGTCACACAGCTGAAGTCCCTAGCTGAAGGCTATTTCAGTTAAGGAGGGCTGCAAGTTGAAGACGCAATAGCTATGTGTTTGTTCTTCTTCTGGAAAAGAAGCTCCCACAGAAGGACTACAGCAGACGAGCTATCAATTAATCCCTCTTTGTAGACAAAGTTCTAAGTGTGAAGGTGAGAATTATTGAGTCATTCCTCTCAGGGCTGAAAACCCTAGTTTGATTCTGGCATAATTAAGTTTCCTCTTCACAAACACAGAGAGGGAACAAGCAAAACAGCAGAAGTGAAGAAAAAACTGTGCATGCTACCACAAAGCTTTTTTAACACGCACAGTTACAAATTTCTGTGCCATTTTATAACTGTCAAGTCTTAATTAAAATACTACATTTCTCTGACTCATGGTGCTGTAGGATGCATGTATATTATTCACATGAATATTAATCTCTTCCCAGGTAGGAGGCTGAATTGCTATGGGGATTTATAATCGCATCACATATGGAAACTTCTTAGGTGTCCTTTTTTTTTTCCCCCCCTTTTCTTTCTTTCAAATTTCAGCCAGATCAGTAACAATTAAGAATCATAAGAACCATTTCAGTAGTCTATGTGAAAGAAATCCAGTAGTTCAGATCAATGAGCTGGAGCTCCATGCGTATTAATGAAATGATACTGCACATTGAGGAAGGGGAACTTGGAAAAGAGCTGGAGGTATCCCTTTGAACATTAAGGACATAAGCAGCTGCTCTAAGTGCTGTAACAAAAGAGGAGGATAGTCCTCTTGAAAGCTTCTAGGCAATGATAGAAGATGGGAAGATGTTAATAGAATGATCAGCCATAGGCGACGTGACCTTTTCTAACTACCAACAGAATCACCTTGTTAAACTATCATCACAGAGACCTTTCAGATCCTGATATTTATCTGGGTAGTCTGTATTCATATCACTGACTTTCAAACAAGATCTAGGAACAAGCTGATGATGATGCACAAGGTGCGGAAAGCAACTAGCATAGATGCTCTTCTAGATTTCAGCAAAAGAACAGAGAAATGAGGATGCAAATGCATCTGAGAAAACTGTGACAGTCTTCCTGATACCTTGGAAGGAAAGGAATTAGATAAGCTAGAAACACTAGTAATTCAAGAACACAAACTAATAAAAACTGAGAAAATCAGTAGCTAGAGCTCATGAGAAACAGGCTTAAAGGACCAGGAGTTCAGGAAGCTGTTAACAGTTAAGAGATAAAAATCACAAGCTATCCCAGTGAAGAGGAAGGAAAGGATGTACAATGAGAGACCTGTCCAAAAAAATCACAAGCTCTTCAGAGGGCTTGAACCTCGAACCACAGATATCTTCTTGATTAAGTTTTTAAGGACAAGCATGATTGCGCAGGAAAGAAATCAAAAGGCCGAAGCACAAAATTAAACACCTAGCAGTAAACACACAATATGACCAAAAAAACATGGCTGCTACTCACAGGAAGACAAAGCTATCATCAGGTGGCATTAAGAAGGCTGAAACATTTGATGCCTTAATTGCTTCAGGTCTTCACTGACAGGGACAGCTGCAGTCAGGCAGCTGACAGATTTAATATTGTTTTTTAAAAAGAGGAAAAAAAGTTTAGCAAGTTAAAAAAAACAGGGTTCAGTGAAGGAAAACAAATTTGAAAGCAAACAGATAAGGTAGGTAGTTCTAAGTCAGCTGGCCCTGATAAATTTTCATCCTCAGGTACTAGGTTGCAACACCGACAATCACAAAGCGCTAAGAACTTGAAAAACAGGCAACGCACTTGAAGATTTGAAAAGGACAAAGCAAGCATTTATGCTTAAAAAATAGGAAGAGGACGACTTGGATAATTATGAAAGTGCTAACCTGACTTTCCCCCCACCCCGGGAATTGAAGACTGGAACAAATAATCAAATTATTTGCAAATCTCCTAGAACATAAAAAGGAGAGAAATAAGAGCGAGCATAGTTTCATCAAGAGTAGGACTGTGTCAAATGCATTTAACTTCCTTCTATGACAAGGTAAATTAGTCTTAGGGGTAGGAGAAGAACAGTATAAGTTTTATATCCTGAGGTCTGGATGAAACTGCTAAAATAGATGCAAACACACTAGAAAAAATTATACTCAGGGTAGCCAAACTCAAAGAACGTATCAAGCAGGGTCCCTCAGGCAGCTCTGGTAGCACATAGCCTGGCAGCTTGGGTACTACACAACTTTTTCATGTACAACTTGAAGGATTTGTAGGCATAACAGATTAGGAAGAGACAGACAGCAATGTGCTTAAGGAGTGAAAAAAACGATTCTGTAAGAAAAAGTGCAAAGCCATATTCAGCTGTAATCCAACACAAATTAGGTCAGGGAACAACTGACAAAGCACTTCTTTAGAAGGAACCTCAGCTCTGGAAAGGGTAACTATGCATCAGTGTTAGTCTGCGATAAAAAGGCACTGTCACAGCAGGATACCTGATATCTTGGGATATCAGGATCACAGCCTGGGGAGCAAGGTCTTTGTTGCTCTGTAGTGCACATGAGCAGGCTCTCAGCTCAGTTCTACATTCAGCTTTGGACACTGAACTTCAGGAAAAACAAAGAAAGGGGGGGGGGGGGGAAAAAAAAAAAAAAAAAAGAAAAGACAGACTGATTAAAGAGTGCCTAAAAACAAAACCTCGCAAGAAAAGACTAAAAGAAAAAGGGTCATTTAGTGAACATGAGAAGAGTGAGTGGGGCTTCATCCTCTCTTTGCAGCAGCTCTTCACTATTCCAGAGAGGAAGGGAATCAGTTCTGCTCCTTTACTCCTCGTCCTAATCATGAGAAATGGATTTATATGGCACAAGAGAGATCTAGAGCAGAGGTTAGGAAAAGCCTTTGCACAGTAAAGACAGCTAAGCTCTGGAGCAGGCTGCTGGAAACCTCTACCTCTTATGTTTTTTGTTTTAAGGGAATTTTGGATCAATAGTTGTTAGGAGTCGTCAAAGCAAAGCAAATCATGACATTTTGCTATCATAACTAAACCAGTGTTCCTGTAACAGTCACCTCAAAGCATGTCTTCCTTCCAATTCAGCAGAAACACAAAGATTGATGCTGAACCACCTCGTGGACCTTGTACTCTCTCAGAAAAAAAAAAAAAAAGAGGTATCTCCAGGGAGAGGCGTCACTGAATCTCTTGTCCCTTCTAGTATGTTTGTGCACTTGTTTTCCATAAGGCACAGAACTAAACTGTTTTGCTTGCATGCTTTACCAAATCACAACAGAAGTTCCTTTTCTTCTTAGATACTAACAGTGTTCTTAAATTTCACTTTCCTTGTCATACTGACAGTTTTGACGCAAATCCCTTCTGCTCAAAAGTGAAGTAACACAGTAATTGTTAGATGAGAAAGAATTTACAATCCAGATAAGCCAACGGAACAACTCTTTCTGCTATGGCACTTCAGATGCCTCCCCAGACACACACAAAAAAATTTGTTTTCCTAAAAATTTGCAACAAATCCAGAAGAGAAAGAAGTCCTGCTACTGATAGATAGATACTGTAAAATAATTTCTTAAAAAAACAAAACAGGAGAACTGTAGAAGAAAGTAGTATTTCTAAATGAAATATATTAACTCTGCACTTTGGGTAGTAGGCAATCATCTATAGAATATGAACACCATATGTTATCTTTCTGTGGGCATACAGATGGATGAAAGCATAAGACTTTTTTAAAAAAAAAACAACAACTTTTTGGGTTTTAATCACTGTTTTCTAAACGAAGAGTGTTTATACTGTTGAAGAAAATGTCACAACCTTTTCCTTTTGACTGTCCAAATCAAGATTATTTATTTTTAAATCTTACTTTCATGGGATGGAAATACCAAGACTTATTATACACCCACTTTCAATTAGTATATATAAAAATATTTGATGTAAAGTTTCCCAAGCAACATTTTCACATGACAAATAATACAGATAACTCCTACTAAGCTAACAAGCTATCCTCAAGTTGCCTTGAGAAAAAGTCTTCATTTCAAACAGTTTAACACAAACCATTTAGTCCCAGACATTATTATTACTATTTACAAATCCAGAGCTAATCTCTCTGCTTCTGCATCTTTTCTGGTATTCATCTCCAGTTCCACACAATGATGTTCAAAATGTTTGGTAGAATTAGATAGCTCTAAGACCATCACAACATGCTGCAGTCCTATACAATACATCTGATGAAATTTTTGTCTGCAAAACATCAAAACTGTAAGAGGTGTCTTACAAGGAAGAAGAAATGAAACCTTCAGCCACGGAACTAAAACCCAGGCAGCACAGAGAAGGAGTGAACATCCTACCTCTTGAAGCTGCAGTCGAACTTTGCTAATGGCTCTAATCCAATGGGCTCTTGCTGGAGGAAATGGTGGTGGCTCGTTGTCACCATGGTAGCTTAAAGGCAAGAAACAGAAAATCACTATATGAAAAACACTCATCTGCAGCATTAAAGATTCAACATTACACAGTGCAATCACAGCTTCAGCTCTGGAAGCTGAAGTAACCAACAGGCTCCAGTCAACACAGCCCCGCACATGCTCTGGGAAGTGAGAGGCTAAAGCAGAGGTTTCCTTATACACAGGAACTGTCTTGGAAACTGATGAGCTGAAAGATATAAGCTAGGATACAATCCAGCCACAGGAGTAAGACGATGTTGGTCAGAACATCAGGAAAGCAGTCCAAGGTACCTGATAAAGCCAGTTCAACACATTGGTATCATAACTGCACACAAAGAGGCAGATGGAAGATTTTCCATCCCCATGCCTGTTGCAGGTCCCTTCTAACCACTACCTCTTCCTACTCACCCCTACTGCTACAAATTTACAGCCCCTCTTCAGTGGAAACACTGGCAACAGTGCGCAGCTGTGTTTTTCCCCATTCACTGCACCTTTCTCACTCCACTCTTTCCTACAGCTTTTCAAGAGGGCATGTGCATCTGGCAGCAACACTCCATCTCAGTGTCCTACAGCACATTTTACACTCCCTAACCTCATGATACATTGGGCCTTTGGTTGCATTCCTTCCTCTGTATGTTGCTGAGGTGTAAATCACCGAAATATCTTTCCCTGTCTGCAAAAGAACCCCACACTGCTGACAGTATAAAAAAAAAAACCATAGCTGAGAGCAACATGCATCCATGCTACACATCTAGCTCAGGTGCAACTCTAAGGATCAATGTTCAGAGCTCAGTTCCATGCATACTCCATGGAGACAGGAAAGCATTGCCAGAGATTGGAGAGAAAGGGAGCCAGTGATGCAGGAGTATCCAAGTTAGATGCCTAAATTAGCCTGAAATAGACTATGTGAATAACCTTCCCTGTGAACAAATATAGGCCAGCCATTCTGGGACAAGACTCCTGCTGCTCTGTAAGGAGAAGAGGAAAGTGAGTCAGAGTTTAAAAACAGTTTAACACTTTCTCTAGTCTTGTTTTCCTTTTTTACATCATTAGTGTAAGGGTTGCCTACACATGAACGGCTGTGGTTAATTCTCTCATATAAGCACAGTGACACCAGCTGTACCCTCCAAAGGGTAGAGACAGGCAGACATCTCTCCACAGATCTAACTGAAGCAGATGAAAACAATCCCTCATACTTAAGAAAGTATAACCATATCCACACTTGGGGCTGCAATGACTTGATTACCTCAAGGAAAAAAGTCACTTCCTAAGTTAAGTAGTGAAATTTGAAATTCCTGTAAAACCTGTACAAAACCCAGTGCATTAGTCCTCCAAACTTCGCTGAAATACTTTAAGACTGTTTTCAATACTGCTGACAGCTTGGAAAGCCCAAGTGCAAGGACAAGAAAAGCTGCCACAGTAAGTGAGAGCAACATGTCTATTCATATTGTAATTCTACAACCTACAACTACATAAACACTAACTCTAATTGTGGTAGCCTACTACACAAGAAAGGAACTAGTGCAGCTCTAACCATGACTACATGTAGTTCTTGGTTGCTCTCACATAAGCTTGATCACACATGAGCCATGGAAGCAGCTATCTTTGGGCCAGACTACATTCATCAAATCAGAAACAGAAAATACAGCAAACGAGCTTCAAGGCACTAGCAGGCGTTCCTCTTTACATACATAGAAAATATAGTTTAAGCTTAGCCAATGTCTCATAAATAACTGGTCCTGCACATAAAGATTTTTCACAGATCAGCAACATCAAGTTAGTTGTTAGAGAAGGCTGCAAGAACAACGTACATAATTTGCCCCAGGAAATAGCAAAGAGAGGAATCCTCTTTGAATTAGTTGAAAAGAACTCAGTAATAGTTTCACCTACCTCACTTGGGCTCCTGCATCAACATCCTTGGGCTTCTCAAGTTCCAGAGGTAACTTAGCTGCAGAATGGTCTGCACATTTCTCCTCTGTCTCGCAGACCTTCTCCTCCTCTTCTTTGCTGCGAGGCTCCTCTTGCTCCCTGAGCCATGCCTGACCATCCTTCTGGTAGCTGCCCGAACTGTGGTAGGAATGATTCGATTCTCTTTCCTGGTGATCATCATCTTGCTCAGAGCCATGGGCACTTTCATGGGAATGGTCCAGCTCACTTAGGTGAGAGCTTCCCTGGCTGACGTTACAAGAGGAGCTGTATCTACTACTGCCAGCAGGACTATGAGAGAATAAGAAAGTCCATCAGAAAAAACAGTGGCTTGGAGAAACGCAAAGCAATCTGCACATCTAACAAACCGAGTGGGACACTAAATATCACTGAAAAGACATGTTATGAAGTCATATATGCCCCCTGAACTACACCTAAATTTCTGAACCTCAAAATTTTGGTAGGCAGTAGAAATACTTCATACACAGCCTACCAGTATATTGACCATATATACCAATGGTCTTTCTTGCACCAACTGACTACTTCTTCACCTTACGTCAGCTAGAAACTGCCAGTGAAGATATTCTAATAACCAGACAGGAATAAGAATGGAAACATAGCAATTCAGAGTAGAAGTGTTTCTGTATTCTGTAGTTTCACTGCATCTAAGGTCTTTACCATGACCATTTAAGCTGTTGCTAAGAAGTACATTTAACTTAAAGTTAACTTTATTTTTATATATATTATACATTTATGATAAAATACACTGCAGTCAAGATTAAGGTTGTCAAGACTATCAACTTAAAACCTTTTACAAAAGTAAAGCAATTGTTCAAAGGGAAGCCACATGTCTCACTCCAACAGAGCTTTTTCAAGAATTTAATTCATACAAAAAAACCAACACCACAGGTGTGTGATCTCTGTGATTCAAGACACCACTTCCAGGACTGAATTCCTAGAATCCTCACACAAAATAAAGTGGATGGAAATTTCTCATGCAGTCAGGAAAACTACGGCCAAGAATTAAGCAGCACTAATGTTTCTCTCACTCGCACACTTAGGAGAATCTGAAGCCAGATAGGAAGTTTTGGGAGTGCAGTGTTGCAACTGTACAATCAGAGGCACAAGTTTCACTTACATCACACAGAGATATAAGTTTAGCGAGTCTCTCTTTTGATTTTTGAGGGCAGCTGTAACTTAACGCATGCACAGGACTGAATAGTCTCATGAAATACTGATACCTTCCTTTAGGGGCTTTCCTAAGTGCATGAAATAACCTTTGCACAGATTTTAGGAAGAGCAAGTATTAGAATACCTTCACTGATATCTCTGAAAATGTTTTAAAATCTTCAATAATGTGAAATGGACCTAATGAGTTCTATAATACATCAACAGTAAGTTAAATTTATCTCTAAAATTAAAAGCGCTTACCCTGCATTTTGAAAACAAAATGCCCGTTCCTTCCAATACATTCTACCTACTGTTACTTTTTTCTTAGCAAATACAGCATAGTTATCACTAAACAAGAAAGCAAAGTGAATTGTATGCAGCAGAATTAACACACAAAGAATATAACTTCTGAAAGGCTAATGAAATTAGCACTAAAAGCATCTCATTCAGTGGGACACAGTATAAGAACATGGGAAATACAATTACACTTACAGAAAAAAAGAGTGGAAAAAGGTGAGTAAATGTCAAAGGGCTTGTACATAACTAGTGACTGCAGTTTGCCACATCCTCTGTGACAGCTATCAGTAATACTACAAACATTTGACAACAAATAGGGGATGGGACTGAGCTACAAACAGACACCAAGGCCAATATCTACTGCTGCAGTATTGCATTATAAATGGTCAAAAACTTGAAACCATTTATTATGCCTCATTTGTAACTAGCCTTTTCTCATTCAGTTGCTCCACGCTATTCAGATCTGCAGCTTGTGTGCTAGGATGAAGCATTGCTCCATTAGGAGCAGAAGCAAGCTCAGTTTCCGTCAGTTCAGGCTTATCTGGTGTGTGCTCTTCTGCCTGATCTTCTTTCTGCAGTTCATCTGAAATCACGTTCTGCTGATCGTCTGACTCTTTATCAAACTTCTCTCCCAGCTCTTCGTTGGATGTACCATCAACAGCGCTTGCACCAGATGGTTCTTCAGAAAGTTCATTGTCTACGGTGTCAGGCTGCTTCGAAGACAAGTCTACCTCTATATTTGCATCAGTCAGTTGATCTGAGACTGCAGATTTTGACTTTTCATCTGAACTGACTGTTCCTAACACCTTGTCATCTGGTTTTGACAAAGCCTCTGGTGGTACATGTGGTTCCCTTTTGGCAGAGGTCTCCCTGTTGTCTTTTTGCCAGGGAAAGGAGAAATCTAGCTTTTTCCCAAATACTGCTCCTTGGGCACTCTCTGGCTTACTCACCTTTTCTTCACTACCTCCTTCAAACAGAGTCGAAGAAAGTTTCTTAAAGCTGGACATGAGGCCCTGATCTGCCCCTGCTTTATTAACAGAAGGTGGCTGCTGAGAGAAGAATGACCCAAATGGCTTTCCACTATCAGCAGATGACATAAAGCTGAATTTTGGCAAACTGGACATGTTTGGTATTTCAAAGACTGTTTTACTACTGTTTGCATCTGGAGGAACGTTACTGGGTTTGCCCTGTTTCTTCAAGTCACATTTAGAAGCAACCCCTTCTACAGGCACCTCATCAATTGCTAAATGTTTCTCCTGTTCAGCAGTTTGCTGTTCTACATCACTTGTCTTCTCTTCATTCAGCTGGAGCAGATGAACACTGGGCTCATCAGCTGGAGCTGTGGGTTCTCTACCATTACTACTGATCATGTCCTGATGATCAATACCAGCATTAGCCTGATCCCCTGTAACAGCAGGCTCTGATTCAAGTGTAGCATTCTCATCCAATTGGGAAAGGTTTATGTCTGCCTCATTAGTTGGGACTTCCATTTCCAGTTCAAACCCATCAGAAGCTGCTGTAGAAGCAGCTTGTTCCTCTGTTAGATGTGAAGACCCCACATGTAGTTGGCATGTATTTACATCAGTCTGGTCAGTGGCCTCAGCCTGCACTGTATCAACTGCATTACTGAAATCAGACTGGCATGGCTCAGCATCTACCATCTCAGAGGGTTGTGCATCATGATCCAACTGCAGAACCTCGAGGGCTTGGTTTTCACTAGAGACTGCTGTTTCTGGAGTGATCCTCAAAGGTTCCTCTTTACAGGTTTCCGAGTTCCTATTTTCCTCAGTTTCTATTTTCATAGGAGACTCTTTTGTGGAGTTCTTTTCTGCTGAAACAGGTAATACATCCTCCTTCAGAGAGCTCATGACGTCTCTTTTAGACTCTCTGGCTGCAGCTGTATTTTCTGTCTTCCTAGAGCCTTCTGCTGGAACAGACTCAATGACATCTTTCACACTACTGCTTTGAGATTTAGGGGTGGATTTTGGAGGCATCTCTTTTGGAGATTCTTTTGGACCTTTGAAGATGCCAAAGAGATCATTTGTGAAAGCTGGTGCTGGGCCACTTGGGAGGGATGAGAAACCAAAGAAAGAGGAGCTTTTCTTCTGTGCAGTAGGAGGTGCTGAAGCTTGAGGTTGGGAAAAGAAACCAGATAACGTTTTAGGTGGTTTCATTTTTGTCATGAAACTTGAAAACATTTCAACTGAAGAATCCAGTACCGATTTATCACTCTCAGATTCCTTAGGTTTGTTTTGCAAATTAGATGCCTCTGGCATTTTAGGAGAGTGTAGCTCTTGTGCCTGTTGCAACCTGTCACCAAGAGTTTGTTTGGGTAATTTATGTTCTGGCAGCTCATGCTGTACACATACTTCTTCAGAGACTGCTTCATTTTTTATGCCACTCATAATATTTAAGTCATTTAGACTTTGGGAATCCATTTTATCACCTAAGGCCATGCTATAATCTTTATTTTCAGAAGCTTGTTCTTTTGAAGAATAAGGCTCTTCTTTATCAACAGGAAATGCAACACTGTCCATTTTCCCTGTGCTACCCAAAACATCTTCTTTTCCCCCTAAGGAAATAGTCTGTTGGCCCTGAGAACCCTCCTGCACACTGGGAGTCTGAAGGCAAGGACCAGAAGCAGCTGAATTGGCTACTGCAGTGTCATCGGTCTGTGGAAGCTTCTCTAGGTCTCTCTCTTCAGCTGCCTCAGCAACACTTTCTACATTTTCCACTGCCAGCATTTCTGATTTATTTTCTGCAATTGTGAGGTTATCAGACATTTGTTTGCCAGTCACTGCTGCAATAATGTCATCCACTTCTTTTTTACTGTCTGCATCTTGTTGCCTGGCAGAACTGCTAATTTTGACACCAGAGTCAGTGGAAATATTTTGCTTCATGTATGGCTTAGAGTTCACTGGTTTAGCTGGTTTTGTATTATTCTCCTGTCCCGGAGCAGTTTCTGGCTTTTCATCCAAAAAGGATGTCAAACTGAAGAAGCTAAAGCTAGTACTTCTTTGAGGTATTCTCTTCTCCGCAGTTGGACCGCTGGAGAAGGAGGGCAGATGAAACAGCCCCTCTGTTTCTTGCTGCTTCCCACTAGCAGGAGCAGTAGCAGGTGCTGAAGGCTTTGGTTCATCTGATCCAGTGAAGAAGGAGAATATGCTCCTACTGGCTGGCTGTGCTGGCTGTGATTTCGAACCAGTGATAGCAGAAAAGTTGAACGGCAAACTGAAACCCGACTCTTTAGGTGTCTGATCAGGCTTTGGTTTTGCCTGATTAACTGTGCCTCCCAAACGATTTCCTCCTTGTTGCTTTGGTGTAACCGTGGGTAAGCTGCTCTGCTGCACAGCTGAGTGACTCAATTGGCTTATTTTGGGACCTACACCCATTGGCTTCTGTGAAGTGTTTCCAGGAGGCACTTTTTTACTCTCAGGAGACTCCTCCTCAGCTTTTCTGCTTCGTTGTTCCATTTGCACCCCAGGGCTAGGAGAGACCTGCCTGTCCATGCCTTCTGTTCTCACCCCTTCCTTAGGGGTGGAGGACAGACTTGCCATACTGTCACTCTGAAGACCCCCAGGCTTCTCAGTCTGTTGTCTTGACTCAGCCACAGTTCTATTGGTTTTTGGCAGAGTCGTAGTACTTGGGGTCGGTTGAGAAGACACAGCCTCCACTTTGAAGAGATCTCCAAGGGATCCAAATAATGATGAGATGCTGGAGGTTTCCTTCTGTTCTGGCTGTATCACCTTTTCTGGTTTATCACTTTGACTTTTTTGCAAATCTGGTGATGGCTGTGGTGCTTTGCTTACTTGCGTTTTAAAGAA